ATTTCTCACTTTCCCTCTCACTGTCTCTTTCTCCTACAAATGCATGTGTCCTATGGTAAAAACCTTAAAAAAAAAAAAATTAAACAAGGGCGTGCCTTGCTGTGTGTACTGTGTTAAGGAAATTGTTTTAGTATAGCAAAAATATATGTGTTATTTTTATTTTACCTGCTTTTAAACTAGACAATCGGTTAAGTGCTGACCGTCATTTTATCCTGGCTATTGCTAAATAGCTTCTGAATTAGGAGAACTAAGCACACTGTTCCAAGTATAGGAACTAAACTTTCTGGGACAGTAAACAAAAAGTAAATGCTACCAGTTGGCCGTGCCTCACCTTCTCCCACTTAAGTTCCAAAAAGGAATGCTCACAGTCTAGGCATCCTCTCCCTCAGGGTAGAGGACATTGAGAAAAGTACTGTGCTCTTTGCTGTCCAGTGAGTTGTGAGGTGGCAAAGGCTCAGGTCTCAGAGCCTCAGTCAAATGAAAGAGATGTATTATAACAGCTGTGGCAACCCTGTCTGGCTCAGTCACTTAACCCATCAGGACAAGTTGAACTTTCCACTGGTCCAACATCTTCCAAGACTATTGTCATCTAATTGTTGACTTGGGGTTCTATATGTGCCCTAGAATTCAGGCTTGTTCATTGTAGTGCTCCAACCAAATCTCTTACTTACTAATATTTTTTTTCTGTTTAGCCTTTCATTTACTAAGACATTTACATTGATCGTACCCCTACAATTAAGTATAATTATTATTGGTTAATAGAAAAAATTTAAAAATGCAGACATTGGAATTTCTCAAAATTGATCATAGTGGTCCAGTTTTCACTACAATTTTGTTGCTTTTTGCCTTATGTATTTTCAGGCAGTCTTTCTAGATGTATGTGTGTGTGTATATATATATGTGTGTGTATATAACTCAGCAGTGCATTTCCAATTGTGATCATTGGCGTTTACCCGGAGTCTGAATGTTTTGTGGCAGGAGATATTTAGTTGGCTATACTGCTGAAAGTAGAAGTGCTCATTCCTTCTTTCTAATCTTTCAGAAATTTCTCAAAGTTCAATGATGAGACCTTTCCCTGTTTTTTTAAATGCATGTGTGGATTTTATGATTTTATCTTTAAGTCTTTTCTCTTATTTTGATGACATTGAGAAAGGAGAGCTAATACATAGACTCCTGCATTTCAGTTGAATCAGAATTTTTGTCTTCTCTTACTCTACAGGTTTTCTTGAAGTAATTCCAATCATTTAATTATTTCTGTACCTTTTTTAATTATCTTTTTTTTGTTTATTATCATTATTCTTCCATTTTTGACCAGAGAGACACAGACAGAGAGAAAAGGAAGGTGAGAAAGCAAGCCACAGGTTCAGGACTCACACCATGGTCAGTCATATGGGAGGAGTCCAGTGCCTTAACCACCACGCCACACCATCTGCCGGCCCCTTCTGTACCATTTTCATACTGATGACTTTCAGATCCATATCCTTAACCTAAAGTCTTTCACGTGCATAACTCTACTTGTTTAAACGCCTAGTAGTAGATATCTACAGTCGGATGTTCCATGGGCCCTTCAGGCTATCCATCGACAGACAACCCAGTAAACAAACTGTGGAAGAGCCTACTGTGGAATATGAGCCCGCAATTTAAAAAAACGAATTACTTATACATGGATCAACATGGATAAATCTGAAAGTCATGATGATGAGTGAAAGAAGCCAGATTAAAAAAGAAAACATACTATATGATCCACCTACATAAAATGATAGAAATACCACTCTGTAGTGACAGAAAGCAGATCAGTGGTTGCCAAGGATGAGAAGTTACTGAGAGGATTGGAAGGGACAGAAGGAGAAAGGGATTACCAAGGGGCAAGAAGAATTTTTGGTATTGGTGGACTTATTATCTTAATTGTGGAAATTAATTTAAAAATGTATCAAATAGTACACTTTAGGTATTGTTTATTGTATTAGAGATCTTCAAAAAGTTTGTGGAAACGTGTATTTAAAAAACCTATATAGATTTCAGAATTTTTTGCACCATCATAAACTCATACTTTGATTCTATTTTCCATGAACTTTTGAATTCCCCTCATATGTCAGTTGTACCTGAATAAATATGAAAAAATAAATAACCTTCAATACTGAAAAGCTTTTAACAGAAAAATAACAGTCCTTCTCCACTCTTCACACCTATCCCAATCCTACTCTCCAGGGGTAGCCTCTTTGAACTCCCCAAGGTATTCTAATATATAGGCCGTATTATAATATAGATATAATATGTTTACCATGTTATTTATTGATTCATCAATTTAGAACATCAGGAAGTACCTGTTTATTCTTTCCTAGTATGGTAGTTCATTTCTCTTAGTCCACTTCTTTCACTTCTCCCAACCTTCTAATACAGTTTTTGGTTAAGTCAACAGTGCTAGTATTGATTGGGAATATTAACTAGTCTATACTGCTGACTTGAGAGGTATACTTTGATTACATTTATTTCTTTAAAACCCTTCCCCCCCCCCATACTGTTCATGCAGTAATTACATTTCCCCCCATTTTCTTTATTTTTAAAAAATATACCTATGGCTGATTTTTTTGTCCCTTAGGTTTTTCCATAGGGCACATTCACTTGCCAAAGAGAGGTAGAGAGAGGGAAAGTAATAAATTACCTGCTGGTCTTGGCTAATTTTTTAGATGCCCAAACATAGACTTGTCAGACACCTAGCAGAAATGTTCCCAGATACTCAAAATATTATATAATCTGTCGATTCCAATCTCCCACTCCCATCCACTGGAGACTTTTTCACCATCTGTCCTCTCAAATATACTTAGATTGCTTTCTGGTCTATATTCATCATGGTCTTGATAAAGATTCCTCTCAGTGTTGAATCAATTAATTCCTGAGTCCTATATCACTTTCCTTCCTCGTTTGTTCATATTTACCTTCAATTTGTTTCAGGAATACTATTTGTTCTAGTTTGCCTCCTAAAAGGGGGGACTTAAAAGTTTAACTCTTCGGGCAAATAGGTTGTGTGGAAGTGAAGGCACTGTATCCCACATGGCCAACTCCGTAGTTCAAGTCCTATACCCAGGGAAATTATGCTGGGCACCTGTGGGTGTGGGTCCTGAGAGAAGATTAGAGAAATGCAGTGTGGGTGTACCCACTGAGGGGTGATATCTCTCTGGCAAATATATATCTGCTATACCAAAACTAAAAAAAAAGAAAGGAAAAAAGTTAAAATGTTTTATTAGTAACAAGACCAAAAAAAAAAAAAATCATTATTCACCTTCATCTAACTGTTTGGCTAAGTATAGAATTATAGATTGAAATTAATTTAGAATTTTATAATTGTTTCTTTATTATCTTCTAGCAGCTAATATCAAATACTCAGAATTCAATTGCATATGTCTTGTTTTTCTCTTCTGGAAACATTCATGATCTTATCTTTATCTTGACTGTGTGAAATTTTTTATTGACATGCCTTGTTGGAGTTTGTTCATTGCTCTGGAGAGTCATTCATTTATTTAGTAAATAACAATATTTACAGAAAAATCACTATGTAGAAGACGTTGTTCTAGGTATTGAAGTTATAGCCAGGAACAAAATAGACAAGTCCCTTGTCTCATGGAATTTACATTCTAGCCATGATGTCAGAAATTAAGAAAAAAAGAAAGAGTTGTAAGAAATCAAATTGGAGACAAAGTCAAGGAGAGGCCAGGAAATTTAAGGTCTAATAGGAGTTGCTAAAGACTTTGTAATTTATTCTGTTGGAATCTTTATTTTAAAAATATATTTTAAAGAATCTCATTGATCAGAGGATGACTTGATAGGGAAAATTGACTGTAAGACTTATGAGTGGGAAGTGGTGAGACCTATTAGGAGACTATCTCAGTAGTCTACCTAAGAGATACAGTGGCTTAGACTGGGTGGTAAATAAGAAATGATCAAATTTGGAATATTTTGAAGGTAGAACCAATGGGACTTGCTAATGGATTGGACAGGAGTGAAAGAGAGGAGTAATTAATTCATTTAAGATTCTTGGCCTGAGCAACAAGACAAATGATGGCATCATTTACTGAGTGGGAAGATGAGGGGGTGTTTGAAGGATAGAACTGCGGTAGGATTGTGCTATATTTTGGATATGTTAGGTTCAAAGGTTTTTTGACAGCCACGTGGAACTGTCCAGGAAGCAGATGTTCATTCAAGTTTAAGGTTCACAGTGGAGATGGGGACCAATGAATTTTCCCTGAGCAGTGAATATAGATAGAAAAGCAATTTGAGGATCAAGTTCTGGAGCATTTAAATATTTAGAGTTGGGGCCAGCAGGTAGCTTAGTGGTTAAGGTGCTAGACTTCCACATGGTCAATTGCAGTTTGGGTCTCAGACCTAGCAGCTTGATAATCATGCCGGGCTCATGTACATGCATGCCCAAAATTTCAGGAAGAGAATAGAGGAAAAGAGATTGTGGTGTGGCTATCTCCCCTCTCTCTATCTCTATCTCTTTTCAGCAAGTGCATGTGCCTATGGCAAAACCTTAAAAAGAATACATATTTAGAATGAAGAAATGGAAGGGAATCAGAAAGGGAATTGCCAGTGAGATAGGAAATTCAGTATTAATATCCCAAAAGACATGTGAAAAAGTGACTTGAGAGGACAGGATCCACTTTGTTGACTGTTAGGATTAGAGTGAACATTTTAACATTGGATTTGACCATGTATTATCGGTGACTCTAGCAAGTCACTGGAGTAATCTATGTTTTCTCGATAAGTCTATAATTGAGTAAGTTAATAGTATTTTATTGAATGTGAATGGTTCATAAGTCTAACAGCTATAATGAAGTTATTTTTCTCAACATTTGATTATATTGAGAGGGAGATTTAAAGATTCTTTTGAAGTATAGGTGAAAAAGTATTAAAAGTAATTTATTTACTTAAAATAGTATATAAATTAGTTTCACTAATTATTACAATATATTCTAACCTTATCTTTCTCTTTTTCTTAATAGCATTTTCTTCCTCTCGCAAATCTGCAATGTTCTCCAAATGTTGAAACTTTCCTTTGCAAAGCTTTTGTACCATCCTGCACAGAGCAAATCCAGGTGGTTCCACCTTGTCGTAAATTTTGTGAGAAAGTATATTCTGACTGTAAAAAATTAATTGACACTTTTGGGATCCGATGGCCTGAAGAACTTGAATGTGACAGGTAAATTATGTTTTTCACTGGAAGGTACTAAAAAGATTTTAATATTGATGTTAGCTTTCCAGAACACTAGTGGCAGACTTTCATTACTTAATTTCAACAAATGTTTATTACACACTTAATTTATGTCAAACACCATGTTGGTAAGTGTTGAGGTCACTCAACAAACAAAACACAAACTCAGCTCTTGTTTTCAGGGAACTAAGAGAAAGAAAGGAAAGATTAGTAGTAACCAAATAATTATGCTAATAAATGGAAAATTGCAACTGTGATAGGAACAGGAAAGGAGAAAGGCATACTTATAAAAATATGTAATGACGTCTTTGCCTGAACTGGGGGAAAGGGAAGGATGACTATTGAGTTAAAGTATGAAGAGTAAGACAGAGATAACTATGTGGTAGTGAGGGGGGGTAAAAGAGTATTTTGGCCAATGGGAGTAGCTTTTTCAGTGACCCTATGACAGGAAGAAGCTTGGTATATTCAAGGAATTAAACCATTGCAGCTGGAGTGATGGGAGTAAGAGAGTGTTGCAAGATAAGGATAAGAGTCCAATAGCAGTCAGACCATTCAGGGTCCATCTTGCATGTTTGTATGTTAAAAGCAATGAGAAGAACTGAGGTGTTTTAAGATAGGGATGGGTAGTGTAATCCTTCTAGCTTCCATAGAGCATTATACTCATGTCAGTCTGGTGAGGGTCAAGCATCTGTTCCTAGCAGTTCTTTGGAATCCAGGTGCTTCTGTTTTGCAACTGTGGCAGCCATTTAGATAGGAGAGAGACGGTAGAGAACTCACACCTTTCCTTAACTGCCTCAGACTAAAAGTATCATACCTTTTCCATTCACATTATTTTTGGCAAGATGTCAGTCATGTGGTTATAACTGAAATAATAGGGAAAATGGAAAGTATGTGTCTAGAAGGGAAAATGGTATTCAAAGCAGATGAAGTGTCAGGTACTGCCAGTTGAAAAAAAATATTATATACTATTTCACTAGTGATTGAGGCAAAAGACAGATTGCAGAGGGAGAAGGACTGAGAGAAAGTAAAGCAAGACACATGGAATTTCTCAGGAAATTGGGCTATAAAAAGGAGGGAGAGAAGTGTAGTAGCCAGAAGGGGAAGATCAGGGAGATTTTATTTTAATGGGAAAGAACTGACTGCTTAAAGAACTGCTAAGAATAAGGAGGAGGAAAGCATATTTGGGGTAGAAGAGATAATAACATGTTTTTTGAGAAGGAGGTAGAATCTCAGAATCAGGGCCAGTAGGTGGTGTGATGTTTAAGGCACTAGACTCCCACATCACCAACCTTGGTTTGAGTCCCAGACCTGGCAGCTTGCTTTCTGACTTTTTCTTTCTCTCTCTTTCTGTCTCTCTGATAAAATTGAAAAATAAATAATATCAAATAAAATTAAATAATTCCTTAAAAAAAGATTCTCAAAGACAGTCAAAATGATGGATGTGGATAGGAGGAGCTTCCATGGTAAAGAGAAAAGGATGGCTGTGGTTGTAGGTAGTTGGTATCTTCAGGAAGGGTTGTTGAAGTTACTTCCATCTGATGGTTTCTAGTTTCATTGTATAGTAAAAGTCCTCTGTTGACAGTCTGAGGTGGAAAGATAGGAGTTAGATAGAAGTGATCATTGAGGTGGTGGGGGAGTGAGTGGATTGGAGAAGGGATCCTGAAATTTTAGTGGTTCCCATCTGACCTATTGATGAGACTTTCTCCAGCAGTGGTGCGATGCTTGGGGTCACAGACAGAGAAAACAAAGTTGGGTTCCTCTGTGATTGGGGCTTTGTCAGATTCAGTACAAAGATAAAGAAGCAGTAAGAAAATGAAAGATAATGAGAGAGGTTACTGAAAGGATAGCCTGTGAAAGTCTAACTAGCTGAGGAGTGAAATGAAAGGAAAGGACTGATGTGTGGAAACAAGGTAGAGGAGAGCCAAGTGAAGTTTTATCAAAAGGCATAGTGGGAATTTTTGAATAAACAGACTGCAGTGATAGGAGCTTACAAATTGGGGGGCAGAATGCTTGAGTTGGTTTTGGAGACAGAGTGTGTTTATAGATTATAACAGGGTTCCTGTGTGATTGTGAGTGCAGGTGCACCAGTGGGCTAGGGGTCGTCATTGGAGATGAGGTTAGGAAGCTGAAAAGGGGAAAATGGTATTCAAAGCAGATGAAGTGTCAGGTACTGCCAGTTGAAAAAAAATATTATATACTATTTCACTAGTGATTGAGGCAAAAGACAGATTGCAGAGGGAGAAGGACTGAGAGAAAGTAAAGCAAGACACATGGAATTTCTCAGGAAATTGGGCTATAAAAAGGAGGGAGAGAAGTGTAGTAGCCAGAAGGGGAAGATCAGGGAGATTTTATTTTAATGGGAAAGAACTGACTGCTTAAAGAACTGCTAAGAATAAGGAGGAGGAAAGCATATTTGGGGTAGAAGAGATAATAACATGTTTTTTGAGAAGGAGGTAGAATCTCAGAATCAGGGCCAGTAGGTGGTGTGATGTTTAAGGCACTAGACTCCCACATCACCAACCTTGGTTTGAGTCCCAGACCTGGCAGCTTGCTTTCTGACTTTTTCTTTCTCTCTCTTTCTGTCTCTCTGATAAAATTGAAAAATAAATAATATCAAATAAAATTAAATAATTCCTTAAAAAAAGATTCTCAAAGACAGTCAAAATGATGGATGTGGATAGGAGGAGCTTCCATGGTAAAGAGAAAAGGATGGCTGTGGTTGTAGGTAGTTGGTATCTTCAGGAAGGGTTGTTGAAGTTACTTCCATCTGATGGTTTCTAGTTTCATTGTATAGTAAAAGTCCTCTGTTGACAGTCTGAGGTGGAAAGATAGGAGTTAGATAGAAGTGATCATTGAGGTGGTGGGGGAGTGAGTGGATTGGAGAAGGGATCCTGAAATTTTAGTGGTTCCCATCTGACCTATTGATGAGACTTTCTCCAGCAGTGGTGCGATGCTTGGGGTCACAGACAGAGAAAACAAAGTTGGGTTCCTCTGTGATTGGGGCTTTGTCAGATTCAGTACAAAGATAAAGAAGCAGTAAGAAAATGAAAGATAATGAGAGAGGTTACTGAAAGGATAGCCTGTGAAAGTCTAACTAGCTGAGGAGTGAAATGAAAGGAAAGGACTGATGTGTGGAAACAAGGTAGAGGAGAGCCAAGTGAAGTTTTATCAAAAGGCATAGTGGGAATTTTTGAATAAACAGACTGCAGTGATAGGAGCTTACAAATTGGGGGGCAGAATGCTTGAGTTGGTTTTGGAGACAGAGTGTGTTTATAGATTATAACAGGGTTCCTGTGTGATTGTGAGTGCAGGTGCACCAGTGGGCTAGGGGTCGTCATTGGAGATGAGGTTAGGAAGCTGAAAAGTCAGAATCTCAAAGGGTGGTCCATATTCATGGTCAAGCCACCAAGCATGACAACAGCCAAAGGAGACAAAAGTGGTGATTCCATTCAGATCTTTATTGAGCTCTTACTATGTGCCAGGACTGTCTTAGACACTAGAGATAGAGCAGGCAAAAATTCTTGCTGTAGTGGCTCTTAAATTTTAGTGGAGGGAAGCAGAAGATGAAATGAATCAGTTGTATTTATACTAGAAGATGTTAGATAGGACCTACAGAGAATATATTTGCTTTTTCCTTATGGAATTGCCTTCTCAGTTTCAAAGTAGTGGAGGTTATAACTTAGCAAAATTTACACTGGCACCTATGCCATAATTCTCAACTCTTTTGGCATTTTGATCTCTGTAGTTTTGGGGTTTTTTGTGTTTTTTTGTTTTGTTTTGTTTTGTTTTTACAGACTGACCCTTTTTTCCTTATAAATAAACCAAATTAAGTTTATCTTGAGAATGCTTGATACATTAAATTAGGAAGAAGCATGCATTTTTTTTTTAATTGTTGAAGCCCGGCACCAGCAGATGGCATAATGGTTACTTCACCAGGCTTCCATGTGGTCGACCACGGTTCAAATCCTGGACTCAGCAGCTTAAAACACACCGGGTGCATGTGCACCCAAGATCCCAAGAGGAGAATGGAGGAGAAGGGATTGCGGCATTGCCATCTTCCCTAAGGGGTGATTTCTCGCTTTCTGTCTCTCTGGCAAGCACATGCCCTCTATAGCAAAAATTCTCTAAAAAAAGAAACTTACTGAAGTTCTATATTAATCTGTAACCCACTTATGTAAAGTAAACCCTGGACTAGCATACTGGTGACTTGCTTTCTCACTTTCTTTCTCTCTCACTCTTTCTCTGTCTCTCTTCGGTCAACTTAAAGTAAGTAAATAAATAAATAAAGTTAAATGAAATAAATCTTATAAATAAAGTGAATCCATAAACATGCTTTTGTATAATGTTACTTAAGTCAGTTGCACATTAGTATAATTCTGGTGTTTCCTATAACAGAGGAATTTATTTTCTTTATAGAGAGATTTATAATCAGGCCCTTGATTACCCAGGAGAATGCCTTTGTCCTCCACTGCCTTTGCCTTAGGAGGACAGTACAAAGGTGCAGAATTTCTTGAGGCCTGTAGGTTCCTCAGCTTATCAGAGTGCAGGCCCTCTTTTGTATGTGAGGAGTTTTATGGCAAACAAGGCTTTCTTTTTAGCTCTGACTCAAGTAGGTTGATCTCTCTCCTTGTGACCTGTTGCCCTTCCTTTTCCTTTCTCACTGTCTTCTTCTACAGCAATGCATACCCACCCTACCTCCTATCTATGGAATCTTATCCTTTTCTGTTGTACTGTTTTTCTTTCCTTTCATTTCCTGTCTTTATTACAGTAGTCAGACTTTCCATGCAAAGATATACTTGCCTTGCTTTCATGAAAACATACTCTCCTGATGTGATGTATCAGCAGGCATTTCTACCACTCTACTGTGACCGGTTTTGTAAACTAATAAGTGTATTTCAAAATGAAAATAATACAAAAGTGTTTAGTAACATACATTTTAATAGCATGAAACATTCTGTGTTAAATTCAAAATGCTAATTATGCTTCTTATAGATACCTTCAAACCAATGTTAGTGTAATATTTTGGCACAGTGAATTGTCTTTATTGGATATAAAAATCTCAGGCATATATTTATTTTCTCTTAAAAGAAATAAGCAATCTGGGGCCGGCAGGTGGTGTGGTGGTTAAGGACGCTGGACTCCCACATGGCCGACCACAGTTCGAGTCCTGGACCTGGCGGCTTGCTTTCTCACTCTCTCTCTCTCTCACTCACTCTGTCTCTCCCTGGTCAAATTAAAATAAATAAAGTTAAGTAAAATAATTCTTAAAAAAAACAAGTTATTCCAGTTTAAAAAAAAAAAAAGAAATAGGCAATCTGTGCCTTTCTGTCATGATGGATAGACATGATAAATACTGATCGGGTTGATCTTTTGTCTTTAAAGTTCATACTGAGAAAACAGGATTTTAATCACATTTAACTTATGAATGAACGTTATTAGCAATTCACTGACCTTCTATACATTAGTCTTGATTGATTATTTTGCTTCCTATTTGCTAGACATTGAGGCTTATAATTTTAAATATTCTACTGTCATAGTGAGACCTCATGTAATAAATTAGGGAGGGAAGCACTCTTGGGTTTTTGTTTTTGTTTTTTTATCTGTAGACTGAAGAAATTATAGAACCTTACTTCTAGTAGATGCATACTCAAGAATAATTTCAGAACCTTTGTGGAACTCACATACTTCTAGTAGATGCATACTCAAGAATAATTGAGTAATGTACAGTGATAGTTCCAGGCGCTTATACCCTACATCCTAGAAAGCTCCTTTTATAGAAACTTACCTGAATAAGGCGTCAGCCTATCTTGTTTGTGGCATTATTTCTAATTTTTTTAAGAGAGATTTTTGCTGCAGGGTATGTGCATGAGACAGAGAGACAGAACGAGAGAAATCACCCCCCTCCCCCCCAGGGAGATGGTCATGCCACAATCCTTTTTCTTCCATTCTTCTCTCTGGATCTTGGGCACACACGCACACATGCCCGGCATGAGTTTTAAGTCACCAGGTCTGGGACTCAAGCAGTAGTCAACTGTGGAAGTCCAGCAATGCAACCATTATGCTATCTGCTGGTCCCTATTTCTATTTTTTTTTTTTTTAATGAGAAAAACATTTAACAGTTCATCATAGAAGAATGGTTAGTGAATTGTGACATACTTTCACACTGAAATACTACCAAACAATAGATAAAGATGAATACAGTTGACTCACATTTGTTAATGTGAATGAATCTGGAAAATGCAGTGTTGAGGTTTTTTTTTTTATAATTATTTATTGAACTTTATTTATCATTATTATTTATTCAGTTTGCTACAGGACACATGCGCTCACCAGAGAGAGACACAGAAAGAGAGAGGGAAAGTGAGAAAGCAAGCCACCCGGTCCAGGACTCAGACCATGGTCAGCCATGAAGGACCCAAGCCATATAGCATCCCAAGCACCATGCCACCCACTGACCCTAGTGTTGAATTTTAAAAAGGAAGTTATAGCATGATATGTACAGCATTCCATCATCTATATAAAATTCTAAACCTGAGGACTAGCAGTTAATGTAATGGCTATGTCACTGGACTCCCATGTAGTCAGCCGTGGTTCGTGTCCCGGACCCGGTGGCTTAAAACTCACGCCGGGCACGTGTGCTTGCGTGCCCAAGATCCCGAGCCCAATGGAGGAGAAGGGATTGTGGCGTGGCCATAATCCTGGGAGGTAGTTTCTCACTTTCTGTCTTTCTGGCAAGCGCTCGCACCCTATAGCAAAACCCTCTAAAAAAAAAAAAAAGGAAGAGGCTGCTTGTTTGGGACCAGCAGGTGGCATGGTGGTTAAGGTGCTGGACATTCCCACATGGCTGACCATGGTTCAAGTCCTGGACCTGGTGGCTTGCTTTCTCACTTTCCCTCTCTCTCTCTCTCTCTCTCTCTCTCTCTATGTATCTCTCTGGTCAAATAAAAAATAAAAAAAAAAGAATGAATAAAAGTAAATAATTCTTTAAAAAAAATTCTAAACCTGTGAAATTATATTACATAATGTTATAGCTAGCAAATAATATAGTAAAAGTATTTAAAATGGGCCACTGTCTGGTATGGTGATTAAGGCAATGGGATCTCACATGGCTGACTATGCAGCTCAAGTCCCAAACCAAGCAGCTTGAAAAACACACTGGGTGTGTGTGTGTGTGTGTGTGTGTGTGTGTGTGTGTGCCCAAATCCCAAGGTGAGAATGGAAAAGGAGGGAAAACAGTGTGGCCATTCCCCCTGGGAGGTGCTTTCTCACTTTCCCTCTCTGTTTCTGGTGAGCACATGTGCCCTATGAGAAAACTAAAAAGAAAAAATAAATTTTAAATGCTTGAGGAAAATCAAATCTGAATTTGTGGTGAATATTTCTGAGGAGAAAGAAAACAGAGTAAGATCAGAAAGGGATCCTGACTGTATCTATAGTGTTATATTGCTTTATGGACTTCTTTAAAATTCTCTGTTCTTATCTAAGGTGTATTTAAAATGCTTTCTCACTAAAAACTCCTAGTTGTTTTTTTTTTTGTTTTTTTGGGTTTTTTGCTCTTTTTTTTTTTTTTTTTTTAAGAGAGATTTTTGTTATAGGGCCCATGCATCTGCCAGAGAGACAGAAAATGAGAAATCACTTCCCAGGGGAATGGCCACACTGCCAATCCCTTCGCCCCTGTTCTCTCTCAGGATTTTAGACATGCATGTATATGCACCCAGCATGAGTTTTAAGCTACCAGATCCGGAACTCGGACCACAGTTGACTACGTGGGAGTCTGTTGACATAACCGTTATGCCATCTGCTGGCCTCAAAACTAGCCCTACTACTTTTTAAATCATCTAGACCCTCCAAAATAATCCCAGTATATACAAACTTGACTTTGTGATAGTGTTGTACAAAAGACAGAAATAAACCTGGAAATAAACAAAGTGGTGATGTGAGTTAAGCTGGCCCTCAGTCCATATCTTGGTCATATTATTGCCCATCTTTAAAAATTTGGTGGTTAAAGTGCTGGATTTCCACATCATCAATTGCAGTTTTAGTCCCAGACCTGGTGGCTTGCTTTTTTGCTCTCCATTTCTGTCTCTCTCTGGTCAAATTGAATAATAATGATGATAAATAAAATTAAATAAATAACTCTTTTTAAAAAAAGTAGAAAGCAAATTTGAACTCTGGGCTGGCAGGTAGCATGGTAGGTTAGGACACTGGACTCCCACCTGGCCAACCACAGTTCAAGTACTGAATTTGGCAGCTTGCTTTCTCACTTTCTCTCTGGTGCGCACACATGCCTATAGCAAATCAAAAAAATAATAATAAAGTTAAATAAATATTTAGTTTTTTTAAAAAAAGTATTTGAGCTCGATCAGTTGAGGGATAGATCTCATTTCAGTCTTATCACCTTAGTTATATGGTTATCACCTTAGTTACATGGTTGGTATACTTTGTGACCATATTAGGAATAAAAGTGAATTTCCCCAAGACTTATATTTCATGTACTGTAAACAGACAAACAAGCACTTTTTTTGGTCCAGAACCACCAATAAAGATAAATTATTTCTTAAGTATTTAGTCATAAAAGCAAAAATTACTTTAAAAATATTGACTAATTGTTTTCCAAGTAAATGAGTTTTCATGTTTATATGCCTTTCATTTAACGTGTATTAATATATTGGGACCTCACCACTACCACAAATCTCTAGTCAAGTTCCAAACTTTCTATCTGACTCTAACCTGTAATTTATTTAGGTTTGTATATCTTCCCATCAATTTTGAATGCATGTTTTACAGTTGAAAACATAGTATTAAGCTAGTGACTCAATAAAAATGGTGACCTCATATATTTAATTTTTATAATCTTTATAGATTACAATACTGTGATGAGAATGTTCCTGTAACTTTGGATCCACACAGAGAGTTTCTTGGTCCTCAAAAGAAAACAGAGCAAGTCCAAAGAGACATTGGATTTTGGTGTCCAAGGCATCTTAAGACTTCTGGGGGACAAGGCTATAAGTTTCTGGGAATTGACCAGTGTGCACCTCCTTGCCCTAACATGTATTTTAAAAGCGATGAGCTAGAATTTGCAAAGAGTTTTATTGGGATTGTTTCAATCTTTTGTCTTTGTGCAACTCTGTTTACATTCCTTACTTTTTTAATTGATGTTAAAAGATTCAGATACCCAGAAAGACCAATTATCTATTATTCTGTCTGTTACAGCATCGTATCTCTTATGTACTTTATTGGGTTTTTGCTGGGCAATAGCACAGCTTGCAATAAGGCAGAAGAGAAGCCAGAACTTGGTGACACAGTTGTTCTAGGTTCTCAGAATAAGGCCTGCACAGTTTTGTTTATGTTTTTGTATTTTTTCACAATGGCTGGCACTGTATGGTGGGTGATTCTGACCATTACTTGGTTCTTAGCTGCAGGAAGAAAATGGAGTTGTGAAGCCATTGAACAAAAAGCCGTGTGGTTTCATGCTGTTGCATGGGGAATACCTGGTTTTCTGACTGTTATGCTTCTTGCTATGAACAAAGTTGAGGGAGATAACATTAGTGGGGTTTGCTTTGTTGGTCTTTATGACCTGGATGCTTCTCGCTATTTTGTTCTCTTGCCACTGTGCCTTTGTGTGTTTGTTGGGCTGTCTCTCCTCTTAGCTGGTATTATTTCCTTAAATCACGTTCGACAAGTGATACAACATGATGGCCGGAATCAAGAGAAACTAAAGAAATTTATGATTCGAATTGGAGTCTTCAGTGGCCTGTATCTTGTGCCATTAGTGACACTTCTTGGATGTTACGTCTATGAGCAGGTGAACCGAATTACCTGGGAGATAACTTGGGTCTCTGATCATTGTCGTCAGTTCCATATCCCATGTCCTTATCAGGTAAAAGCTATCATTTGGATTTTATCACTGTTTACTTTTAATATAGAAAATGTTACCTAGAAATATGCTTGTATTAGTCATGAGCATACAGTTAGATTTCAGGTGAGAAAATCCAACAGATTTTGGAAATGAGTCCCTGTGTATCAATTGAAATTGGTGAAAGTGTACCAAGAGTTCTTTCCTCAAGCTTTAGCTTCAGCCACTGTTGGTTGTAAAGTGCTTCCTTTACTCTTTTAAAAATTTAATTGGGTTGCAAAAACAGCTGCATAGTAATAAAGAACAAACTAAGTCAAAGAGTAGGCTTTGTTAGAGGGAGAAAAAGAGAAGTACGCATGCTGAGTTAGGAATTGTTTTTCATTTAGGTTTTTGCCATAGGGCACGTGCATTCACTGGAGAGAGGCAGAACGACCATGGGAGGGAAGGTAAAAAATGACACACACACACACACACCCCCAGGGGGAATGGTCACACTGCAATCCCTTCTCCATTTTCCTCCCAGGATTTTGGGCACACATGCACTAAAACCCAACATGATTTTCAAGCTGCCAGGTGTAGGACCTAAACTGGTTGGCCATGTGGTAGTCCAGTGCCTTAACCACCTTAGGAATTGTTCTTAATTTTGATTTGTTTAGTAGAAGAAAACTTTATTTGGTTATATTTAATTAGACCATATTATTTTTTAATTTTTATGTAATACACTTATAAAAACAGAATGTGACTTTTGCCTAACACATTGTGTCATTTAACTGAAGAAAATGTAATTGAAATAAAATATGTCTCATGTATTTCTTATGTATAATTAGTGGCACTTTTAAGATGAAAAGTAAATTTCTGAAAATATAAAATTTCTTAAAGCATTTTAATTGAAGCTTTTTAATAGAAATCTTGTTTTTAACATTTTATACCTGAGTCTTGAACATTTATGTATGATATTAACTGCATTGAACATAGCAGTATCATCATAATGTATGGGCTGAATAATTTTATGTAATAATTTATAATCTATAAAATTACTGCTTATAGCATAGTGGAGCTTATTTTTATACCAATGTGCAGGATAATAGTTTTACTTGCCTTACACACAGTTCATAGTCTCTTATCTATAGTTTCTTTATACCCTAAATTTAATAAGAAAGCTGTGTCTTAAAGTGATCCCACTGTATTAAATGTCCCCTAGATTTCTCATTTTGGAAAACTGGGGAGAAAAACTATTAAATACTACCAAGAATATTTTTAAACATCATATTTCTTGTGAGAAGCTGTAGAATATTAGAAGGTAGAATGAAAATAATCTTTAAACAGAAAAGGACTTTAATAAGTATGATATAAAATTTTAAAAATGATAGCGAAAAGTGCTAAATTTGAGTAACAAAACAAAAAAGTTTTTTGGGTTTTTGTTTGTTTTTTAAGATTCTGCATAGCAAAGAATCAAAGTCAAAAGACCAACTGGGAAAGTACTATTTATATACCATATTGTAGTAGAAAGGCTAATTATTTTATAATAGACCAATAAGAAGAAAATAAACACTCTGATATAAAAATGAGAAAAATATATAAAGAGGGTTCACAGAAAGGATATCAAAAAAACTTGTTCTTAAACATGTGGAAAAAAAGTTATAGTAAAAGCAATGAAAATTAAAATTAAATTATATTCCCCTTTATGACATGGCAAACATCTGAAGGTCATATAAGCCCTGTGTAGGTGAAACTGACAAAATACACTTTCTCAGACTTTGCCTTTTTTTAAAAAAAAAGAATTATTTTTTATTTAACTTTATTTATTCATTTATTTTAATTTGACAAGAGAGGGACAGAGCACGTGAGAGACAGAAAGTGAGAAAGCAAGCCACCAGGTCTGGGACTCAAACCACGTTTAGCCCTATGGGAATCCAGCACCCTTAACCACCAAGCCACCTGCTGACCCCTCAGACTTTACTTTTAAGAGTTTCAATTAGTTCAGCCTTCTGTGGGAAACATTTGACAATATCTATTAGATTTTAAATGTACATACTCCAACTCTGCCCTCCTGGGACTTTATGTACAGATCTGCTCACAAATGTGAGAAATTATATAATTCAGAGATAATCACTGCAACATTATTTCAAATGGCGATTGATTGGAAGTAACATAAATATTTATTAATGGGGACAGGTGACTAAGTTATGGTTCATTAATATACTAGAATAGTTTGAAAGAATCAAGAAATCTATTTTACTGATGAAGAATCTATTTTAGGGACCAGCAGTTAGCGTAATGGCTATGTCGCTGGACTCCCACGTAGTCGACCGTGGTTCGAGTCCCGGACCCGGTGGCTTAAACTCACGCCGGGCGCGTGTGCGTGCGTGCCCAAGATCCCGAGAGGAGAATGGAGGAGAAGGGATTGCGGCGTGGCCATCCCCCCTGGGGGGTGATTTCCTGCTTTCTATCTCTCTGTCTCTCTCTGTCTGGTGAGCGCACGCGAGCGCCCTATAGCAAAAACCTCTCCAAAAATAAAAAAAAACCCCCAAAAAAAAAAAAAAAAAAAAAAGAATCTATTTTACTCCAAGAAATATTAGTAAGTACAGAAAGTAAAATTTAATGCAGAATGTGTACTGTTTTGACATTGTGCAATTTTTAAAGAATATTTGAAAGTTTATGTTTAGAAGAAAAATATGATTTTAGTTTTTATGAGTTTCTACATTATAACACTATACTGATCCTTGTTTTACTATATCCAAATTTCTATAATATAAACATTAACCGTACATAGACTGTAAAGTATATGTTGTTATAATGAGTTCAGTTGTTATTGTGTGAGGTAGATTATAGTGAAGGAAAATAGGTAAACATGTAGAGGCATATATTTTAGCAATGACAAGAAGCTGCCCTACCTATAAGGGAAAAAAAAACATGCCAAGAAATTATGCCAAGATTTAGGAGATAATTCCTAAATATATTTCATTTTTCCCCCTTTCTAGAGATATATTTTGATTTACAGATAAAGGTTCTTTGGTAAGAACTTGGGTAAAATAAATGTATTTGTACTTAAAGTACTATTCATTATAATATGTTATTTCAAACCTTTATAATGAAGCAAACTGAAGGTTTATCATTTGGTTCAGATTTCATATTGACAATACAGACTTTTCACTTTAAATGTATCACTGAAAATTTTATTATTCACTCTTTTTTGTAGGCAAAAACAAACGCAAGACCAGAACTGGCTTTATTTATGATAAAGTACCTGATGACATTAATTGTTGGCATCTCTGCAGTCTTCTGGGTTGGAAGCAAAAAGACATGCACAGAGTGGGCTGGGTTTTTCAAACGAAATCGCAAGAGAGAGTAAGGAGCTATTGAATTATCTGTCGTTGCTTTAAAATAAATACTCAGAATACCAAGGGGCCAGTCAAATTATTCTTACACTAGAGTTTCATTATATCAACTATTATTTCAATTCGATGAGCCAGCCAAAGTCTGGACATATTTTGTGGAAGAGATATACTTTATTTTGGCATTTGTCACAGTAGCCTTGGACACGTTATTCTATTTGAAATATGAATGAATGATTTATAAAATGCACATTTTCTTTCCATGATTTTTACTGTTTCTTTTTCTGTTTTGGTTTAGTTTTATATATATGTATATTTTTATTTATGTATTATTTACAGTTAATCACTGTACATCTTTACAGTGTACAACATGGTTTTTCCCAGCACACGTACAGTGCATATCAGTCACGACAAAGACATCATCAGCAAATAACTTTTCATTTTTGTGTCAGTTAAACGTATTACTTGTTTTTTCTCTGTTCCTCTCCCTCCCTCCTCCTATTACCCACCCGCTATTACCCCTCCCTTGCTATCTCTAGTATCTACAGTTGCCCTCTCTGCCATTAGACCTTCCGATCTTTCCGTTTCTCCTATAGAGCGCACGCATTCGCTATAACTGTTTCCGATATTACTCCCATCGTTGGATTCATTATTTTGGGTACAGCATTTAAAATAATTTTATCCTTTTTTTATTAATGATAAAAGATTAAATGGGATTAAATATATGTAATCTGTAAAATAGGATGCAAATATAAGTAATGTGTTATGATTATTATTTACTACTTTTAAACTTTATTACACATGATTCTGACCCATGATTTCACTTGTTTGACTTACTTAAGATGGTAAAAATTTAAATTTGAGGCTATTCTTAAACAATATAGATTTATAGGGTTGACAGGAAAGTCATGATGCATTTTTCAGTATTTTTCTATGCAAAATGCATCATGACGTTCCTGTTGACCTAATACATTTAGAGATCGCTTATTTTGGTTATTCATATGCATTATATGCAATTTACTATAGAGGTTTTTTGTTGTTTTGTTTTTTGTTTTACTGTAGGACATATGTACCTCCCAGTGAACAACAGGTGGGGTGGAGGGGGGCAGTGAGAGGTCATGTCCCACAGTGGATGGCCACCTCATAATCTCTTCTCCGCCATTCTCCATTTGGGATTCACACGCGCACACATGTGTGCATGCACCTAGCATGTTTTCAAGTATGTTTCTCAAGGTTCAGACTCAAGCCACATAATCAGCCATGTGGGATCCAGCCACCTTAACCTCCATGCCACCTCCTGCCCCACTATAAAGTTTTAAAAATCATTCTTCATTAATTTTATCATTGAACGCTTCATGGTTCAAATTTTAGAATTGTAGATCACTTCACAAATAAGTTTTTGAAGTCCAAGGAATTATATTTAACTGGACTTTATTTTATTGTACTGTTGTGTGTCTATCCCATATTTATATACTCACACTAACTTCAATGTAACTTTATAACTTTAATGTTAGAAAGAATTTTAAAAAAAGCATAAAGGATATTCTATATCCTTTTTTTGGATTTACTTTTAACTTGATAAATTTACATGTAATATAAATTAACTAGTCACTAATTTATTCTGGTTTGAGTTTCCTTGCCCTCATCCTTTGATTTGGTTTATTTATTTATTTATTTTAATTTTTTTGCTAGAGAAATCACCTCCTGGGAACATGGCCACACTGTAGTCCCTTCTTTTCTAGTCACCTCTTGGGATTTGGGGCATACATACATGCATGCATGCACATGCACCTAGTGTAGTTTTTTTTTTTTTTTAATAATTATTCCATTTAACTTTATTTATTTATTTTTATTTTTATTTGACCAGAGAGAGACAGATGACAGAGAGAGAAAGGGAAAGTGAGAAAGCTAACTGCCAGGCCCAGGACTCAAACCACAAATGGTCATGTGGAATTCCAGTGCCCTTAACCACCACGCCACCTGCCGGCCCTGCCTCGTGTGAGTTTCAAGCCACCAGGTTTAGGACTCAAACCGTGGTCAACTACACAGAAGTCTAACAACGTAACCAATACGTCATCTGCTGGTCCCTGGCCTATTTAATTTTAACTATTAATATTAACAAAAGTAACTAAGTCTACATATGAAAGATTTCAGTTTATGGAAATATAGTAATGTAATACTAGATTTTTATCTGCAGTATGGAACTTTTTAAATGAATGGTAATTTTTGGCAAAAGATACACATTATCCTTTATGGCTTCTGTGGGTGTTTTAAAAAGAGTAAATTCTCTTCTTTGATTTTCTTTCAGTCCAATCAGTGAAAGTCGAAGAGTACTACAGGAGTCATGTGAGTTTTTCTTAAAGCATAATTCCAAAGTTAAACACAAGAAGAAGCACTACAAACCAAGTTCACATAAGCTCAAGGTTATTTCCAAATCCATGGGGACCAGCACAGGCGCCACAGCCAATCACGGCACTTCTGCCGTAGCCATCACTGACCATGATTACCTAGGCCAGGAAACTTTGACAGAAATCCAAACCTCTCCAGAAACATCAGTGAGAGAGGTGAGAGCAGATGGAACCAGCACCCCCAAATTCAGAGAACAGGACCGTGGGGAACCGGCCTCTCCAACAGCATCCAGCTCCAAACTCTCCGGGGAACAGGCCGATGGGAAAGGTCAGACCACCAGTGAGAACGATAAGAACAGTGTGTGTGGAAGTGCACGGAGAGAAGGGAGGTGAGACTTCATTTTGTTATCTAAAATCACCACTATTTAAATAATGTGTTAGACATTTGTCATTGGAGTGTACATCTGAATGAAAGCATTTACATGTGTGTTCTCTTAATCCAAGGAAGTTTGGGTTTCACCTGTAAGTGTGCCATTGAGTAGTCAAATTCTTTTTTTGGAGAGCTTTTACGCTATAGGGCCTGTTCGCTCACCAGACAGAGAGAGAGAGACATAGAGACAGAAAGCGAGAAATCACCCCCCAGGGGGGATGGTCACGCCGCAATCCCTTCTCCAGTCTCCTCTCGGGATCTTGGGCACGCATGCACACACACCTGGCATGAGTTTTAAGCCACTGGGTCTGGGACGCAAACCACGGTCGACTACGTGGGAGTCCAGCGACATAGCCATTACGCTAACCGCTGGTTCCCGAGTAGTCAAATTCTTAGCTTAGAGAAAAATCTTAATAAACGTTGTTCAGTAGCAAAGTCATGTTTATTTCTACAGTAATTGCTAAGACCTGGTTGCACATTTAGGTAAATGTTTATGATTCATCTAAAATACAAGCTTAAGTTTTAATTAATACTACATTCTGCTAATGTCTAAAGGGTGTCATTTTATATTAAGATGATTATAAAGTGTTCTTATTTTTTGAACATGAAAGGGTATTGACATTATCTTTAATGAATTTTCCTAAATGGTCATAGGTAAGCAAACACAGGTAAACATCAGTTTAGCTGGAATGCTGATAGCTAACTACTGTAAAGTCTCAAGGTTACCTTATCTGGCCCTCTCTAGTAATACCTTCTCCATGCTCCTGTGACCACTTCTGTGTATGTGGACTGTAATTAGATGTATGCTTTATCCTCCACTGTTGAACTCCTCAAAGGGAGGGCTGAAATTTTTCACATCTTTGTGTTTCCATCCACTTACACTGTGTCTGATCCCTAGTATGAAATCAGTATTTTCTAAACTAAAAGCAGGAATCCTGCTTTATTAAATTGTATTCTCTGTTGAGCCCATGCATGGATAGGCTTGATGAAATTTCTTTTTTGGAGAGGTTTTTGCTACAGGGTTCATGTATGTGCTCACCAGAGAGACAGAGAGACAGAAAGTGAGATATCACCCCCCAGGGGGCATGGCCACACCGCAGTCCCTTCTCCTGCATTCTCCTCTCGGGATCATGGGCATACACCCACATGCCCAGCATGAGTTTGAACCACTGGGTCTGGGACTCAAACCACAGTCAACTACATGGGATTCCAGCGACATAGCCATTACGCTAACTGCTGGTCCCAAGGCTTAATGGCATTTCTGAAGTCAGTAACAATTGTATTTTGGGGAAAAAATGTATTTTGAAATATTAGAATATACCTAAAGAGTTTTAGTTAATTATCCTCTGATAAAAGTAAACACTGGTTGAGAGTTAAATTCATTTTAAAAAAAAAAAATATATATATAGCAGTTATAAGAATACCTGGCATCATATTTGTGGTTGTGTGTATATTTTGTATGTATGGCAACTTCTTTTTCTGTTATCTAGGCTAAGTCCAAAGAGTGATACTACTGAAACCAGCCCAGGGCGGAGCAACAATTTGCAGGTCCCCAGTTCATCAAACCCAAGCAGCCTCAAAGGTTCTACAGCTCTGCTTGTTCACTCCGTTTCAGAAGTTCAAAAAGAACAGGGTGCTGGCAGTCATTCGGATACTTGAAAAACCTTTATCCTGTTACTTAGAAGCAAATTTATGTTACATTGAAGGTGACATATGCACTGTCTTAGAAGCACTGTCTTAGGGGAATCACCATTATGTTCTTTTGCACTTAAAGCTGCAATATCTACTGCTATACTGGAAAGAAATGGATTTCAATAATATGATTCATTTCACATAAGGGTTAATGACAACAGTATACCTGAAAAACAGTAGTGTACAGGTTAATAATATGTTTTCATTTGTGTGGGAGTAGGGGGTTACAAGAATCTTCCTTCTTATTTATGAAGATTCTATTCTTGTTAAAAGTATTTTAATATGTACTATTTCACTTTTTTGATAGAAGATCAAGAGTTTTCTTTACTGAAGTATTTAAAACTTATCCGTGTATCCTTTTTATATATATATTTGAAAATAATCGTATATGTATTTGAACTGTTAGAAATTCAGGAAAATTTATTCAAATATTTTATTATGTTCTGATATTTTAATACTACTTTGGTAGCTTTTACACTGAATTTCTAAGAAAATTGGGGAACAGTATTCTTTTATAGTATTAAAAATAGTTGACACAAGAAAAGGTTTAATCATGGAAATTCCATTTTAAAAAACACTTCCACCATAACACTTTAAGTGTGCAGATTTGATAAAGTATCATTGTTCTAGGAATTTCACAGGTCTGTTATGGAACTAAAATAAGGTGCTTACTTAGAGTGTCCAGTGCTGGTTGTTACGCTGCTCACTGATGCTCCTGCGTTTTTAAACGAAATGTCCTGAAGGGGTTAGCAAATGAAATGTTAGTCTTCATTTATAATGAATTCAAGTGCAACTGATTTCTTTTTTTAACTGTTACATGACCACCCAAGATTGTATTATGACCTTTACAGTCGCTTATACTTCTCCTTTGTTTTAATTTTTTTTTTTTTGACATGTAGAATATAACCACTTTGTATTGTGTAGTATCTTCCTCAGACATTAGGCACTAGGTAGGTTTTTGCTGAATATTCAAAAGTTATATTAGCATTATTTGTGCCAATCAAATGGGGGGAAAATGTCCTGATAAAACAAAATATATTTTGTGTAACATACTTTAAAATATTAAAGAATTTTCTTTATTTTGAACAAGGCTTTCTGATGCTTTCAGTTTTCTCTCTGTCTAGCATTCTGTAAAAAGATAAAAACGATCATGTACTGTATGGAAAAATGTAAATATCAACTTTTCCATATTTTACACACGTAACTTTATATACAAATACTTTGTTATATGTGATCTTTTTATTAATAAAGTTTTCTTTGTATAAGAGGTTGTGGAATATTTTGTGATTAGGTATTTGTGTCCTGGCCCAGGAAGTGTAGTATAGTCTTTCAGAGGGTCACTAATAAATCAGAAGCTTCTCTTTAACAGGGGAAAGAGAAATCAGAACTTTTTATTTTGGGGGGGGGGATTCCTGTATGTTCCCCAATGTATAAATTATACAGCCATATTTATCATAACTTTTTTAAACCAATGGGAGCCCCAGGGGTAGAATAAAAGTAAGAGAACCCAGGTTCAGCTTTTGCTTCTGACAGTGGGTTAGGTAATTTGGAGAACTTCCCCCAAAAAGAAAGCTAAAACACATGAATGAAAACAGTGTAATTCTCTCAAACATTCAAAAGCTAGTAAGATCATGAGGAATTGCACTTAAAATTGCGTTGTCAGGACCAGCAGTTAGCATAATGGCTATGTCACTGGACTTCCATGTAGCCAACACAGTACAAGTCCTGGACCCGGTGGCTTAAACTCACACCGAGCGTGTGTGTGTGCGTGCCCAAGATCCTGAGAGGAGAATGGTGGAGAAGGGATTGCAGCATGGTCATCCCCACGGGGGGTGATTTCTCGCTTTCTGGTGAGCGCACGTGCCCTAAAGCAAAAACCTCTCCAAAAAAATAAAAATAAAAATTGTGTTGTCTACTGTTATACTGGAAAAAAATGGATTTCAAGTTTAAGATCTAGAGGAAGAGAGATACATACTGTCAAGCCCAACATTTGGAGCTGCTTTTTCTCTGGGAACATCTGGTGACTTGGAAAAGGTGGGTGAGAAGTTGAACAGCGCCACTGACAGCCTTCACGAGCTGGCAGACTAGGAGAGGGGAGTCTGCAGCCAACCACACTTAGAATTCTGATCCCAAAGGGCTGGATCCTAGGAATAAGGGTGAACTATAAATAAAACAACTCTGCTTCAAGTTATCTGGGTGGATTCAAACAAGCTCAAACCCTTAAACTAAGTTAAGGTAGTTCTGGATTCCTAATACCTTCAGGAACCACACAGAAGCAAATGAAAATCTCTAGCATCACGAGTTCCATATACTCTACACATAGTTTCTTTACAATGCAGCACCATCATATACTCATATACTCAGAAGTACATGAAAGATAGTACGTGAACAAGAACAGGCACAAAAATCAGACAAGAAAAAAGATCCACAGGTACTCCTGCGTTACCAGACACACATCATGTAACTTAAAAATATCAGCAAAGGGGAACAGATGGTGGCACAGGTAAAACATGGCCCTCTGTGAGGCTATCCCATACAAAAAGGTCCCTTGATCAAATCTGGAGACCTCCCATATACTAGACACACACTTGCCTATGATCCAGAGCTAGCTGAAGGCTGGAGATGAGCGAGCATAGAGACCTTGTCAGGGTTCTGTTTCTCTGTCTTGCTAGGGAGAAAATCTGATTCAGCCACAAAAGCAACAATGTAATACCTATGGATTTTTTTTTTTTTAAATCCAAAAAAATGACAATACCAATTTTTGGTGATGAGGCAATAGGAACTCATTTATTGCTGGTGATTGCAAAATTGTACAGCTACTTTGGAAAAGGGTTTGGTAGTTTTTCACGTAGCTAGACGTGGTCTTACTGTATAACCTAGCAATTACACTAGATAACTCATCCAACTGATTTGTGTAGATAAGCTACTCTTGATATGGAGCATCTTTGTCCACTTCTTACGTCTTGGCATCACATGGTGAATTCCTGCCAAGGAGCAGTTCAGGGTGTGATGACTGCAGCTTTGACAAACACTGTAAGCCAGAGGTACCTCACAACTCAGAAGTTCAATCAAGGCAATGAAGGTCACATCAATGGTGCTAAGTCATGTTGAGAGAAGGTTCCCTTCACATGTCATGACAATGGCACTTGACCTCTGTGATCTTCCCCGAACCCATAACCTCAGCCTAATCATTAGAAAAATAGCAGATAAATCAAAACTGATGAACGTGTTACAAAATACCTGGCGAATATTCCTTTAAAGGGAGTTGAGGTCTTCAAAAACAAGGAAAGTCTGAGAAACTATCACAGCCAAAAGGAGCTAAAGGAAACATGACAACTAAGTGTAATATAGCATCGCGGAAAAGAAAAAGTACAGCAGATAAAAATTAAAGAGGCTCAGCTACAGAGGACAAGGAGCAGCAGCACTTGGGAGGCCGGAAGCCATAGGGCGCACCCTGATGGGATTCCTGGCCAACCTAAACACTCAGGACACAGGGCACCTGAATTGTAGGCTGGGACAGGAGGATTGTGACATAGTAGGACCCCATCAGAAATACCTCTCTCTGCCTTTCTCTTCCTCATACACGAAGAAGAAAAGGAAACAAACAAAAAATAAAAAGAACTAAGGAGTATGGTGCTCAAGTCTGTTGTGTTGCAATAACAGAAATGCCTGTGTCTGAGTATTGAACTGAATTGAATTTTCACAGCGTTGGAGGTCCAAGGTCATGGGGCAAATCTGCTGAGCACCTTCCTGCTGGTGGGGGCTCTATTCAGAGTCCCAAGGCAGTGCAGGCCCTCACATGGCAAGACCTGGCAAGAGCATGCCTGTGTGTCTCATTCTCTCTCCTTATAAACCCATCAAGATTCAACACTCATGGGGGCTCCACTTTGATGACCTTAATCCTTATTGCCTCCCACAGGCCCCACCTCTAAAATCCCATAGTCAGATTAAATTTGCACTTTCTTAATCTCATCACAACTAAATGTGGGGAACACAGTCAAATTATAGCATATGAATAAAATATGGGCTTTAACTTAGTCATTAATTCAGTGATATTTCTTTAATTACCTGTGTGATCATTTCCTCCCTTCTCCTTTCTCTTGTTCACTGGAACTCCTATTAGTCAGATACTGAACTTCCTGGACCAATCCTTTAATGTTCCCATCTTTTCTCTCCTTTCGCCTATCTCTTTGAATATTTCTTCTTGCTCTTAGAAAACTTATCAAACATCTTTTAAAGTTCTATTAAATTTTTGCTTTGACTATTGTGTTTTAATTTTATAGGGCATTTTTATCTCTCTCCTTTTCCATAATATCGTCCTGTTCTTGCATTCTTTTATTAATATTTGAAGATAATATAATTTACTTTTTAAAGGCCAAATAGAAAACATTGACTTTTTTTATTTTGTAACAGCTGATTTTCTTTTTCTTTTCTTTTTTTGGAGAGGTTTTTTTTTTGTTTTTTTTTTTTGCTGTAGGGCACGTGCACTCGCCAGAAAGACAGAGAGAGACAGAGAGACAGAAAGCGAGAAATCACCCCCCAGGGGGGATGGCCACACCACAATCCCTTCTTCTCCATTCTCCTCTTGGGATCTTGGGCATGCACGCACATGCACCCGGGGTGAATTTTAAGCCACCAGGTCCAGGACTCGAACTGCAGTCGACTACATGGGAGTCCAGCGACGTAGCCATTACGTTAACTGCTGGTCCCTGTAACAGATGATTTTCTTACACTCCCTTAGTCATTCTAATAATTTTGCAGTTGATTTTTCCTGTATTTTCTAGGTCCATGATCTTTTCTTCTCAAGCAATGGTAATTTCATTTCTCTTCTGTTAGAACTTCTAGGTATCATTAATAATAGTATTGGCAGGCATTCTTGTCTCATTTCTGTATTTTAATGAAAAGACCTGTAGTGCTTCATCATTAAGAACAATGTTAGCATTTGATATAAAATAGTTTGTTTTTAGTTTGCTATAGGGGGTATCACCAGACAAAGATAAAGAGAAGGAAAGCAAATAATCAGCCTCCGGGGGGCTGGTCATGCTGCAATCCCTTTTGCTCCATTCTTCTCTCAGGATTTTGGGCACATGTGTCTAGCATGATTTTCAAGCTTCCAGATCCAGGACTCAAACTGCAGTTGGTCATGTGGGAATCCAGCACCTTAACCCCCATGTACCTGCTGGCTCTCAATACCTTTTTTTTTTTTTTTTTTTTTCATGCGCTCACCAGAAAGAGAGAGACAGAGAGACAGAAAGCGAGAAATCACTCCCTAGGGGGGATGGCCACACCACAATCCCTTCTTCTCCATTCTCCTCTTGGGATCTTGGGCATGCACGCACATGCGCCCAGTGTGAGTTTAAGCCACTGGGTCTGGGACTCGAACTACGGTCAACTACATGGGAATACAGCGACATAGCCATTACACTAACTGCTGGTCCCATCTCAATACAATTTTGAAAAGATTAGCAACAGGTTTTGCATTTTATCAAATGTCTTTACCATCAACATTAGTAAGAGATTGTTAAAACAATTCTCAAAATCTTAGTAGCTTAAACTTTTATCAAGCATGTGACAAGTGCAAATGTTCTTGAGGTAGCCTTCCAAGTGATTATTCAAGAGATCGCCACTCCCATATTGTGGCTCTGCCATATTTCTTGGATAGAGAGAGAGTAAATGATTGCACAGGAA